GTAGGGTATGTAAAATCAAAATATTAAGTCTGGGATAGGGTCAGGGTTTTGAGGTCCTGGCGGCACACCCCCCCCCAAGTGGGGGGGGTAGCCCCCCCCCCCCCCCCCCGGGTTCTAATGAATGAAACAATCTATTTAAATTTAACGATAAAATAGCTGAGAAAAATACGCCATAAGAAACAAAGTGTGACAACCGAGTTACTCTCATAGGAGATATATTTATCTTAGTCGAGTAGCTTACACTTAAGCAAGTATTTTAAGGCATTGCAAATCAAAAAACGAGTAAATCAAAAAGAATGTTCAGCAAGAATTAACTACACTTACTAATTTCTTAAAATAAGTTTTCTACTTTTGCACTTGAAAATATAATACTATCGCATAAAAATTCTTGTACGTGCTGTAAGTCAATCGCCAAACCTCCCACTCTTTCAAAAACCCCTTGGCTTTTAACAGATACAAAAATAAATCCAGTAGCGCTTACCTCTCTAATGAGAAACTTCTCGACAAAGTAGTATTTCAAACGAATACAATTTATCTTAAGTGAACGCAAAACTAATGATAATGTTCGTGTTGGAGATTTAAACCGCTTTCTTCAAGAAGTACTAGAGTGAGTTTTGATATATTATGGGTTAAACTTAATCTCAAAATTCCGTTTTTTTTCATCAAAGTAGCTAAACCTCTGTCACAAATAGCAAAACATGTCAATATAGCTAAGAGGGATTTACTCACGATCCGCAACAGAGCTAGAAGCGAGGTTTTAATAATGAGCTGTTTAGGAAAAGTTGAAAAATGAACGCGATGCTTGATGAAATGCTTTAACGATAACACCAAAAATTCTCACACAAAGGCTTACCTTGGTTGTCTGATTTTTCAAATAAGAGTGCTCTCGATATTGACAATGAAAAGTCGAATCTGTACTTGTCAGAAAGAAAATAAATGCGGTAATCGCAAAATCGCTGCGTGTTGGTCTGTAGCGATTTGAGAATCTTTCCTATTTTTTCAGATTTTTCTTCTCTTTTTCTATTAAAAAAAAGGATGCGTCGAGTATTGATCCACGAAGAGACAAGACAGCGTCACTTAAGCGAGCCCAGCAATATCTGATTCCAAGCTCAATATGAACTACTCTTGAAGTACAAATTTGTAACATTTCTTTTTATATATGTGACCGGAAGCACACTAGCAAGTAATGTTCTTAATCCCATTGAATGTGACTTGAATATAAACAAAAAAAAAAATTAAAAGGGAGAACGTCAATTTCGTCTTTCAACCGCTATTGAAAGATTACGAAATATATAACGGAAGGAAGCCTTTCTAAAGTAAAAAGTAAGAAAAGCTAATGGTTTTTTGATGGAGTCGTTTGAGTGGAAGATGGAGCCATCTCTCGGAAATTCATAACAAAAGACCTATTTTCTATATATTCGTTTTATTTTTATTTTTCAATTCCCAACTTCCTTTGTCCCCAAGTACAGCGCGTTTATTTACTTTAACAGTACTTAGTGGACTGCCTGTTTAAACAGTCCTTTTCGTACCAGTATTTGTCAAATTAATCTTAATGTTTGCCTCCCTTGTGGCGCCGTTTTCAAAATATTAATCTTTGGATCTCCGTTTTTCATAATCGCTTGGTCAATGTTAACTTCAAATGTAAATATTTTTTATTATTTTGTGGAAATGTAAAACCTTCCTTTCAAATGAATAAAGTCCATTCACTTCCTGAAGCATGAAATATTGTTACTGCAATCTTGATAAACATGCGAACTCTGTGTTCGCGAGCTGCACGATGAAATTTGTTTTTTTGCTGCCGTCAATCAAACCTAATCAGTCAGTACCTTTCATATTTTTGACTGGCGGCAGCGAAAAGCCAAATTTCATTGTGCAACTTGGAGACAGAGTTCTCATGTTTATGAAAATCGATGAAAGAAATTATAGTTTTATTAGGAGTCTTTTCATCTTCGATGAATTTTATTTGATTAGTTTTACTCAATGGTCTATTGTTTTTCCCCTTCTAATTCTTTTCATTCGATCTTTGACTAATTTTTCTTTTCATCTACAAGCTCGTTTGTAGCCATCCCCCTTACATTTCTTATATCATCATCTTCTATATTTATGACTATAAGGTTATCCTTTTCTTCATCTTTATTAGGTCTTACTATCCATTTTAATCTACTGTTCTCTCTTATTTCCATACCCCATTTTACAGAGTAATTATTTTCCTATTTTCGGCTATCTTTCAATTTTTTGTTTTTTATTTTTCTTGGATTTTCTATTTTTGATAATCTATCTTTCCTGTTTGCTTTTATCCGTATGTTTGTTTACATTCACATTTTGATCAAGGACATTAAAATCGTTTAAAATCAAGACTATTACTAGATTTTCTTGACAGAGAATGATCAAGAACAAGATCAAGCCACCTCGTGAGGCCAACATATGTACATGTTCTCCCTATGGAATATGAAAACTCCATTCTAGTATAATTCAACCATTGACTCAGTTTCTGTATTCCTTTTACTAAACATTGTTGTATTTTCCATTCTTAACATTAGACCAGGAAATTAAATATAACGAAACAAAATCAAACGGCAGGAACTTAATTTTATTCTATACCAACCTCCAATAGTATCAGGTATTTCCATTTGCCAAATTAAAAGCTTCTTCGATGAAAATGGATTACAAATTCAAAGCTATTAAAAAAAACCTGTTACGTCGCCCTCGGCATGACTGACGGGGAACACACGACCATATTTTTAAAAGGCGGCAAAAAACTCGCGGGTTTACAGATCTAGAATAAAGATTAACCAATGATTTCTTTGCCTCCATAAGCGGCTAAGAATACTAGGCTTAGACACTTCTTCAAGCGATAAAGATTTCGTTTGTAATCCATTAGGTTTTTGAACACGATTGATAGTGAGTTGGACGTGATCAATACTTGAAGGCTACGAGATGAGAAGATAAGCTTTAATGTTTTAATTGTTTTGTCTCTCATTAGCTCATGGCGCCGAGCAGGTGGAGGGATCGGTATAATTTGGATTCAAGATTCCTAATTGTTATGTTTTCGGCGTTTTCTGGCTTATAAAAGAAGTCGTTTGGAGGCCTGTGTTTTGAGAAATGTTTTTATTTTCGATTTTACAGATAACTAGCTTGCTAAAGTTTTGTCTTTTGCTCTATGTTTGGTCAAGCTCGGAAGCGCGAAACATTCATTATTTCTTCTTTT